AGGCTGAATGTGAGAAGCGTTTGCCTAGCTCTGCGCCCTCAGCACCCGCCGGACCTCTCGCGCCTCGCTTGACTCCGGGCCCCGGCTCCCAGCCAACAATCTGATAATTTAAAGTAATGCATTTTCAGAAGCTCTTGCTAATGTGATCATGAAATGAAAAGAAGTTACTGGATAACACCTCCAGTAAAGCTTTTTAAAAGAAATCAGACACCTGAGAGAACAAGACATACTAGGAGATATAATATTCGCAAAAGACACTACATAGCTGATAAAGGACTATTGTCCAAACTTTACAAAAACTTCTAGAATTCAACAATAAGAAAATAAACAGCCTTATATAAAAATGGGCAAATTGACAAAAGACCTGGGTAGACCTGTACATCTCTTTAAATGTGATGTACAGATTGCAAGTAAACATATGAAAAGATGTTCATTATATTTCCTTAGGGAACTGCCAACTAAAACAATGAGAAACCTACTACAATATCCAAAATCTAATGTCCTGATGACAGGGATTCACAGGGCTTAGGACTTCAGCATATAATGGGGTGGGGACAACTCAACAGCAAATGTTGGCACTGTTGTGGAGCAACAGGAACTCTCATTCATCATTGGTCGTACCAGAAAATGGTCTGGAAGACACTTCAGAAGTCTCTCACCAAACTAAGTGTACCCTTACTAAATGACCCAGGGGCCACACTCCTTGATATTTACCGAACTCATTTAAAATCTTATATCCACACAAAAACCTACACATAGATGTTTATAACAGCTCTATTTATTATTGTGAAAACTTGGAAGCAACAAAAATGCTCTGCAGTAGGTAAATGAATGTCAGCTGTGGTATATCCAGACAACAAAATATTTTATTGCTAAAAGGAAATGCACTACCAAGCTCAGGAAGAGACGCGGAGGAACCTTCAGCTGTAGCATAAGTGAAAGAACCAAGTCTGAACAGGTTAAACACATGGTTCCAATTTGACATTTTCAAAAAGGCAAAACTATTGAGAGAGGAAAAAGATCAGTGGTTGCCAGGGGTGGGGTCGAAGGCGGGAGGGATGAAAGGGTGAAGTGGGGAAGACTTTTAGAGCAGTGAAGCTATTGGTATGGTGCTATCTTGGTGGGTACATGTCACATACATTCGCCAAAACTCGTAGAATATACAACACCAAGACTGAACTCAAATGTAAACTGTGGACTTCGGGTTGTGCCAAATAGTACCACTTTGGCATGGGATGTCTACAGTCGAGATGCTCTGCGTGAGGATAGCGGGTATACGGGAAATCAGTACTTTCTGCTTCATTTTGCTATGAACCTAAAATTATAAAAAATAAGGTCTGTTTAAAAATAAAGAGACAAGACACATAGTCCTAAAAGTAAATCATTGTTACTCTCTCTTCAAATAAAATGCCAAATTTTAGGAGGCAAAAAAGGCATAGGATCATCTGGCAGATGCCTTTTGTCCTTGGCTTTTTTAGTCTTCTCTCTGGATCTTAGACAAGATGCTAGAGGTGTAACTGCCACGTGAGGGAAAGAGCTATACTAAGTAAAAAAGTGTAAGGAGCCTGGCTGTATCCCTGTGTTAATTCCCCAGGGCTGCCATCAAAAAGTTCCAAAAACTGTGTGGCTTCAGCCAGCAGAAATTTATTCTGCCACAGGTCTGGACAAAAGAAGTCCAAAATAAAGCATGTCCAGGGCCACGCAGTCTGTAAATCCACCGGGAGGAATCTTCCTAGCCCCAGGCGTGCCCTGGTTTGACACAGAGCAATTCCAGTCTCTGCCTTCATGCTCAGCCGGTCATCTTTTCATGTGTCTCTACCTTTTATCTCCTCATGAGAACACCAGTGCTAGTACATTAGGGGCCCGCCCTACTGATCTCATCCTGACTGGGTTACATCTGCAGAGACCTTATCTTTGAAAGAGATCACATTGACAGGGCTTAGGACTTCAGCATATAGCGGGGTGGGGCCAACGCAACAGCAAACAGCCCCAGTGGCATTCTGAGATGCTTTGCCACATCTGGACTTTCTAGCTTTGAATTGATTACTGGAGAAAAATGAAGCCCCCCATTTGTTTAAAGCTCCATTCATTCACAACAGAATTCACCTCCTTTCTGGCACAGTACCTTCCGAGTGATGACTGAAAAATTTAAAACTGTCTTCCACTTGGAGTCTATCTATTCAGAGGACAGTTTGTAACCTTCTAAAGACAGAAACCATTATTCACTTATTTAGGAATGGGGGCGCTTCTGGCCCACTAAGGTTTTCCTAGTCATAATTTAAAGATCAAATCCGTTTTCAAAATAAAGTTTGCTGGATACTGAAAAGGTCAGTGGACATGTATTCAGCAGCCAAATTTAGGTCCTCAGTCTGCCCTAGACTCACACCCATCTCAGATATATCTTCATTAGTCACCACTACATACCTCAGTCAATGAAAATATAAATGCAGCTTTTGTGCTTTTATTACCAGAAGCACAGTTGACTTGTCCAACACAATCATGTTCAATTTTACGATACCATCTCTCTGCCAGGTGTGGAGCTTGGAAATAAATATGCCAGAAAACACTGCAAGGAGCCAACACTGAAATCTGTTGTAAGTGTAAGAGGAGTTCTTAGACCATTTTTGTGGCATCCATAACCAGGGACATAGCCATGAGTCATTCAATTTATTGATGGGCTCCCGCAGCAAGGACAAGCAATGGCTTCCATCATCTGTTAGTCACAGAGCCCTGAGAGGGTCACTTTGCTGCTCAGTGGGCTCAGTGAAGGCTGATGCCAGAGTAAACAGATGTCCCTCCATCACTTCCACTAAGAAAACTGAGGACTCAGATGGCAAATCAGGGCTTCCCATCTTTTCTTCCTTTCTCCAAAATATTATTTATCGAATGCCTATCTTCTGCCAGACCTACCAATTAAACAGAGATTAAACAGGACATTAGCCCTACCTTCAAGATGCCTGCAGTTTGGCTAGAAAGATGGAGAAATCAACAGAAAATTTAAAAAAGAAAAAGGTAATAAATGGTAAGATTGTTTAAAAATAGAGTATTAAGGAAGCCCACAGCCAGGGCAATGAATGACTTTTGGGGCGGTCAGGTTGGCCCTCGTGCTGACAATGAAGTTGAGACCTGGGGACACAAACACTAGACAGGAGGAGGAGGGACAGCAGTGTGTGCGGAGGTCCAGGAGCAAGACAGCGTGGCAATCTGGAGACCTGAGTAGAGTCTGACGTGGCGGGCTGTGGGGACATGAGGGAAGTGTCAATTAAGAGAATGACATGTGGTCTTCAGCATGAGGGAGTTGGACAAGGCACAGAAATTGTGAGTTACATGATCAGGTTTGAGATTTAGATTTTTAGAGGCAGCGGTGCACAGGAGGATAAACAGAGCAAGGAGTAGGAGTCAGCGTGGTACCCTAAGGCGCTGGGCCTAGAGGGAAGTGGGAGAAGAGACACATTTAATAAGTAAAATTGACAGCACTTGATGGGATATCAGTAACGGGGTACATACGGGAGTAGCAGGCACCCAAGAATAATAAAGTTAATGGTTTTGTTAAGTGGTATAGGTGTGGGTGTGTTCTTATAGGTTAGAAATTAGGATGTATGATAAAAATAGTGAATTCTCTAGTATTGATATTTAAATCCATACTGATATATTTAATAGAGTAACTGAGTACTGACCTTAACAAAGTTTTAGTATCATGTTCTTAAAGATTTTTAATACAAAAAGAAAATGTATTTTATATTTTGATGGTGATGAATGATGAGACCAAAATATATAGAGTATAAAAGTCATCATATGTGAATCAATAGTTCTCAATTATTTTCAGTTTAAAGTTTCCTTCAACTCCAGTCAATTGTTTGTATGTTTTCTATTTTGTAGGAAATGAAAAAATGATATATTGGAGCCAAAAGGAGCCTTGGAGACAACAAAACATGGAGTCTCTGAGTTGGAAGTGCTACACAACAGCATTAAAACATTTCAAGGTAAGGAACACTCAGAATACCATTATGCTAAAAGCAGTAGACACGAAGCAAAGACCACAAGCTTAGTCACTATAGTCAGCCAGAGCATCTCGGACACGGACTTGTTTGGATTAAATGAGTCAGTATATGTCAATCGTCGAGCGCAGTTCTCAGTGATTGGCCTCCAGAGCAGCAGAAACTATCCGCCAAAAATCCATTCTCTGCTTAGTTCTGGGCACAAGGCAGCCCAGCAAGAATGTATTTCTCAGTCTTCTGTGCAGTCTGGTGTGGACTCGCAATACTCACCAAAGGTACGTGAGCAGAAATAAGGAGTGCTGCTTCCCAGCTTGGACCCCATGACACCCCACAAATTTCTTTACATTGTCCCCTTCCTTCGATCTAAACACAGCTATGACACAACCCAGCAGAGGAGAAGGATGACCTCGGCTTTAGGAATGGACTGAAAACAGGTAAAAAGAGCTTGAGTTCTTGGGTGACCACATGGAACAGAGTTACCTGCCTTCATACCGTGGATTGTTATGAAAAAAAAAAAAAAAGAAAGAAAATAAACATTTTTGTCCTTTAAGTCACTGAATTGTCAGGAATCCTTACAGCAGGTTCATTTTTGCCCCAAATCATGCAATTTCTTTCTCTTTCCTGTTCTTCCCCAACACAGCTGTTTCACTTGTGCAATATTATCTTGCATGAGTACAAATATTTCAATGAGCATCAATATTTCTGCCTTAAGAATGTACGTTACTTTGAACCCTTGTCAAGTCCATTTCTCATATTATAGCCATGTTCCAGATGCAAAATTATCATTTATTTATTTTAAAACATAAAACTAAATTTCTCAGAGAAGATTGGTACAATGACAAAAGTTTGGATTTGTTTTGAGATTCTCCCTTTATGCAAGGACTGTGGCATCGGCAGTCATGTGCAGTGATTAGAGAAGATGGAAGTTGGGCACTGTTTGTCAATGGGAAGATTTTAAAGTATCCATTGCTCAGGAGCTGACCTTTCTGGTTGGGCCACTAGAAAACCTGACTCCTTTTCACCCAACAATTACTCTCTTCCTAAAACAGCTTAATTTCCTAAGTGGAAGTTGAGATCATCCTAAAAGCATCAAAACCTTTTCTGAGGAGTAAATGCCCCATTACAGTTCTTCACTTTCTAGGATAATGATGTGTCCTTTTGATCTTCTGACTCCAGAAATGTTGGCGATTTCATGTCCTTAAGGAGCTTAACAAGAAATAAGTTCAATTTAGTGTCATTTCAGAAAGATAAAAATTAATAAAAATTTGTGGCAGAATTAAATGAGCAGTATCTTACTTGCATAAGCAAATTGCATTGGGGCCATTTTGAAGGAAATTAATAAATGTGGAAGAAGGAAAAAGAAAGAAGCGAAAGTCTATTTGGCAGAGAATAAACGCAGCATTTGCCTTTCCCCAACCATTACCATTCCTGAGTCTTTGAAAGTTAGCTTCTTCTGAGATATTTCAGGAAATATCTCACCTTTGCTCCTGAGTCACCCACTTGCAGCTACTTTTTTGGGTCACCTGCTAGTGTCCATTGCGTTCAGCTCAGTCCTGATTCTTCATCCTGGTGTCACCTGGATGATCTGGGATTCACTCACTCGCCGAATGGTAACAGTCTCTAGGGAAGGATGGATCATGTTTTGTTTTGTTTCTCTTCTCTAATTCCCACAACAACAATAATACAGAACCTGTGCGTATCTCACAGAGTATATTAAAGAGCTGGTGAAAACCAGGGGCAACTTATCCTATGGGGGTGAAAACTTAAAATTCAATGACAAATATGACGGTTCTCATGGCCCAAGGAAGGAAGAACTGTAAGTCCTTTACAGGTGTCCTCTTGGGGAAACATTCTAGTTCCTAACCTTGATCTCTTGCTTAAAGCCCAGCCTTCTCTTTAAAAATGTTCAACTCTTCAGTTCTCTGATTGGATAATCTTTACTTTTCTTGCATGAATCCCACCCTGGCCCTGGGCCATTGCTGGATAATTAAAGAGCACAGTAGCCGCAGCAGTACCCTTTGCAGAGAGGAGACTCAGGGCAGTCAAGGAGGGCTTTGCACCTCAAAGAACAATGTGTCTTGAAATCTCTGTGTCAGTCCAATATAAATCTTTGCATTTTCATCATTCTGGCAGTTTTCTAATTGGATAATTGTGGAACTAAACATATCTCAAACACCCTTTCTAAGGGAAACAATACTTTTTTAAAAAAAGATACTACATTTTAAATCTGTACTAAGGATGATAAACTCTTTTTTATCTTTATTGAATTTATCGGTACATTTTAGGTACACAGTACAGTTACATTCATCATTGGGATCTTGTACCTTTACGTGACTTACCTTAGTTCTTATTTTCCCCATTCCCCAGCCCTCCCTTTACCCCCTCCACCCTTCCCTATTTACAAAGACTTTGTTTCCAAGTCTTTCCTTTTTACATATTTTTTTCTTTTCCCTTTTTACCTTTCCCCTACCCCTCCCATTTCCTCTACTCTGTTAGACCTTTTCTTCATGTTACACATATCAATTATACATTATGATTCTTATTTACACTTCTACTTTTTCACACCAGAGAAACTATTCGGTATTTATACATGAGTGACTTATTAATTTCACTACAAGTATGGCCTCTAAGTGCTTAGCTATAAATTCTCATCTTTATGGCTGAGTAGTACTCCACTTTGGTTTTGTTTTTTTGTTTGTTTGTTTTTTTTTTTTTAGTTTATTGGTACATTTTAGGTATATAGTACAGTTACATTCATTATTGGGATCTTGTACAAGATCTTGACAGGTCTTGGTTCTCATTCATTTTTTCCCCTTGTCCCTGCCCTCCCTTCACCCTCCACTTTGTATTTAAAAAAAAACAAAACAAAACAAAAAAAAAACACATTTTCTTTATCCAGTCTCTAGTTGATGGGCAATTGGGCTATTTCCAAATTTTAGCTATTACAAATTGTGCCACTATAAACATGGGTGAGCATATATCACTATCACTGTGGTATGATTCTTTTAATTCCTGTGGGAAGATACCCAGTACAGGGATAGCTGGGTCAAATGGGACTTCTAATCCTAGTTGTTTGAGGTATCTCCATATTGATTTCCACAGTGGTTGCACCATTCTGCACTCTCACCAACAATGGAGAAGGGTTTCTATCTCTCTACATCCCTGCCCAGCATTTATTGGTTGATTTCTTGATAGTAGCCATTCTTTCTGGGGTGAGAATCTCAGTGTTTTTTTCCTCTGCATCTCTCAAATGACCAGTGATGTTGAACACTTTTTCATATGTTTATTATACTGCTTTTACTTATTTATCTGAGAAATGTCTGTTCATTTCAGATACCTAGTTTTGAATTGGGTCTTTACATTTGGGGGTCTGATTTTTTTTAAGTTCTTTATATTATCTAGATAGCAGACCTTTGTCTGAGGAATAGCTGGTAAAAATTTTTTCCCACATTGTGGATTGTCTCTTAGCTCTGCTTGTGATTTCTCTGGTAGTGCAGAAACTTTTTAAAAAGTCGAGATTCCTGTTTCTAATAATAAAGTCACTTGTCTAAATTCCCCCTGGCCACAGTAGAAATAGCATTTCACAAGATTAAGCCAAAAAAGTTTTAATTTCTTTTTCTTACTTCCAGGCCATCTCCAGAAATCTACCGGTGCTTCAAAAACAAAGCCTACCACAGTATCTTGCCAAGCAAAGGAACTTTCTGTCTTGATGGCCAACACTGATAACGTGAAGATGAAGGAGGAGCTTTGTTCCTCTGAGCTAGGTTGAATTTGCGAGCAGGTGCCTCCTCTTGATAATTTCCATTAGGGTAAAGAAAGAAGATGTACCATAAAATCTAATATGGGTGTCTGGTGCATGATGACCTCCTGTCCCTCAGAAATGGACAGAGGACCAGTCTGAAGCAGTCCTGGTGCTTTGTGTTTTTATCCATAGGAATTCATCCAAGGGTGAGAAGCATAATTTAAGCCTAGCTACTCAGAGGCTTACCTCACTGTGAACCTTTTTCCTTTAGGAATTAAGAGAGAGATCATGACAGGGAAAACTATTTTTTCCCATGAAGAAAGAGACCTTCCTTATAATAAAACTGAGTAAAACCAACACGTATAAGAGACCGGAAGACTATGCCATTCATGGTGATGAACTGGTTCCAGTCACACAGGTCTTAAAATTCCCATAGTTCCTGAGAAGTATCCTTCAGTTCTCTGAGTTATTCCAGTATGTTTTCAAATTAGCTCAGATTTTAATCAAACTAGACCCGAGTTGCATGTTTTGTTTTAAAGAATGGTCCTGGAATTATAGCCTCTCTAGAACAAATCACCTTCCCTAAGCATGGAGATGCAAGCAAAAAAAAAGTTATTTTCAGTAAATGTAAGCAAATCCTACCTATGCAGTCAGGAGTTCCTCCTCGGACTCATGATATTGTTCCAAATATGACTCTTGGGAAAACAATTCTCTAACATGATGGTTTGATGGCACAAATTCTATGATCCTTAGTCAACCGGTTAAGTAAAGCTCTGTGAGAGGCCCTGGCCTGTCCTCTGGGCCCAGTTCCTCCTACACACTGAATCAGCTGCATGTGCCACAGGTTTGTGTTCGAAACATAGTTGCAATATACTTATGCTCGTGATGTCAAGCAATTATTGGGTAATGTGGTCAGTGAAGCAAAATACGGTGGCATACCAACAAATGTACTTGGAACCATGTCTTGTAATATTTGCTAAAGGCTTTTATTCTTTTTCTGATTTTACAGAAATTATAATTTTTAGGTGGGGGTAGGATGGTTGGTGAGAAATTTGATTAGGCTCCAATAAGCCTTTAGCTGAAGTTTCTACTGATCTGAGAGAGCTCAGCACGGTTGTGCAGACTGTCACTACCACTGACCCAGGCCTGTCTCCCCTGCAACTGGGGAGATTCGAGGAACCACCTTCCACCAACATCCAGCCTGGTATTCCCCATATTTCCAAGTATTTTCTTTGGGTTCACAATAGACTATGATTTCTACCACATTTATCTATCAGTTCATGAACTCTGAGCCAATCCTCCAAAGAACTTCTTCAGAGGTACACAAATCAAATAATCCTAGCACTTGGGAGGTTGAAGACTGAGGCAGAAGGATCTCTAGTTCAAACCTAATCTGGGCAATTTAGCAACTTAGCAAGACACTGTCCAAAAAAGAAGCCTGGGGGTATAGCTCAGTGCTGAAAGCACAGTGTTTAACCTTCAGTGTTATGGCAGGTGGGAACAAACTCGTGTGTCTCCATTTTATATAAGACTCATTCAATTTCAAATTTCTGCTTATGCATGGCCTAGATGGTACAAGCATCTCCTTGCCTCTTTAAGTGGCTCAAACTCCCATTTCTTATCTTCCCCACTGAGAAGTCCAGTGCCTATCCCCACACGTCTCAGAATTCCGGGACTTCCATTCTCAAGGCCATTTCCAGCTCTGAACACTGCCTCCCCTGATTGGTTTAATCGATGAATTATATTGCCACAGAGAGCACGAGAGAGAGAGAGAGAGAGAGAGAGAGAGAGAGAGAGAGAGAGAGAGAGAGATTATATTACCCAGGTCATCTGCTGCAGGTAATTCTCATCAAGCAGTGACATTGCTACCATACTCTTGGAGATTGGGCTGTAAGAAAACATTTGCATTCTCACTGTATAACAAATGAGTTGACTCTTGTATTAAATTTTAAAAGACACATTTGCAAGAATGGAAAGGAACCTAGATTCATTCCTGCAGCAGAATATGTAGGACTTAAGAATTTCAATGACAGCAAGAAACAGCTGGTCTGTGGATAAATGTTTGTCCTCTAATGTGATTAATAGCTACATCATTTTTGGACTTAGAAGTAGAGAGTTTTTCTAACTCTGCATGGTAATTTAAGCCAAGTAGATTGCTTATTTTTTATTTTGCTATTTTATTTCCCAGTAACACAGGGAAACAGGCAGGACTTCTCTTCTAGAGAAGGCACATAATACACATGGAAGAAAACTCTGCAAGTTGGATTTCTCTCTTTAAGTCCATAAATATCCTTGCATGAGTTTTTCCTGGACATGGAAGGGCTAGAGTTTTAATGTGCTGGCCTAAGTGGCAGCTACTAGAGACAATTCAACAACAGGAGATTCTGGTGATAAGTCATCTTTCCTCCTCAAAAACCACAAGGTGATGTCAACTTCCCCAGGACGGCCGGCCAGCCAGCTCCTCAGGGCTTACCTGTGTCTAATCTTTCCCTCTCTCCACCCCTGGAATTACTTGTTCTGATTCGGATTCAGAATGAATCTCACTGAACCCAAGCCCTACAGACCTCTGTGCAATTCCCCAAATGCTCGAGGCATGTCCTGCTGTTAGAGTCGGTCCTGATGCCTCTCTAGCTGCAGAGCTTGTCCTCCAGGTATTCCTATGACTGCTCCACTAACATTGTCCTTTCAGAGGAGTCTCTACTATCCTATCTCAAACAGGGTCCTGTCACCTTTTATCCCTCTTCCTCAATTCATCTTTCTCCATAGAATTTATTGCTACCTGATGTTGTATGGTAAACTTTTTTGTCTCCCTGTTGGGAAGTTCCTGAGGTCAAGGACTTTGTTCAATTCACGCTAAGTCCCCAGTACCTAGAACAGT